GATGCGTCCTCGCCCTCTGGAGCTTCTTCCTGCGAACTCTCCATTTCCGAAACCATTGTCACCACTTCCATAGTCACTATCTCCTACATCACGATCAGCATTTCTGGAGCTAAGCGTTCCACCTCTACCTCTGGCACGTCCGCCTCTGCCATCTCGGAAACTGCTTTCACTGTCGCCGATGTCACCATCAGCGCCTCCAAAACAGCTATTCCTGGATCCAAAAGAACCACCTTCTCTTGCTCCGAAACTTGTAGATCTTCCGGTAGCTTCTTCACTTCCAAAATTGACATGACTTCCTCCGAAGCCGGTACCTCTAGCAGCAAAACTACCGCCTCCTCGTCCTCTAACTCCACCGCCCCTTCCAGAAAAACCTCCACTTCCGAAACCGCCGCCGCCACTTCCGTAGTCAGCATCTTCTTCTTGAAATCCTTTGGTTCTCGAGCCAAACGTTCCACCTCCTCTTCCTCTGATACTGCTCGCCCTTGCGGATCCATCTGAAGAAATAACAAATTACAGCTTAGACGTCGAAATATGCGAACACAATGATTTAGAAAATTTTTAAGAAGAATTCCAAAGAAAGAAATAATTATAGGTTTGAGCTGAAGCTATCTCCACGAACTTCGAAGCACAGCTGAAATAGAGCTAAAACGCCAATATAATCATTCAAAGGATTCTGATTCTACAGAAAACTTCCTTTTGAGGTTTTCTATACAATATGTAGGAAGAATGGTATAATTTGCCCTTTCCTGCTCCCACCCCCTCCCCCTTCTACTCTTAAAAACTGACTCGGATGGTTATCGAAATTTATTCACAGCTGTGGATTTGACAGTTGCCCCAGAGATATTTCGACATGTAAATACGATTATCACATTCGTTCAGTGTGAAAACGCCTGGCGCCCGCGCTACAAAAGCTGGCGTCAAAAGGCGCTAGAACACCTGGATGACCAAATTTACTGGAAACTTGTCGTCAGGGGTAATTTGATTCACAGAACATTGATGTCACAGTTCAGTGCGAGTGAGCTTGTCGCAGTCCACAGGCGCGGAAGCAAAACTAAGGTTGAAGCTAGCACTAGTGATGCGGTGCGGGCAACAGGCATTTTCGCGCGACTGTCAACAAAGGACTTCATGCAAAATCAACACAACCGAACATTAAAAAGCCTTTCGCAAAATAAAAGCTGGAAGCGTAATGAGTAATCAAGTAATCGAAAGATTACCATGCCCTCAAATGTCAAGTGAAAAGATACAAAAACAAATTAAATCAAAAAAGAAATAGAATAAAGAAGCAAAATATTCGAAAATGTGCTTGGGCTTTTTTAAAGTATTACCTTAGCACGGCTGAAAAATTCAACATTTACATGCAGACGGAAGCAGTTTGCGTTCGGCTGCCTACCTGCACTAGCTGAAGTGTTGTTTAGACCCCAGTCATCTTCATTATCTGGTGGATCCACTGAACCCCAGTCTTCCTCTTCCTGATCTTTCTTCGCGCTTCTATTGGAGAAAGCGAAATGATCTGAAAATCCAAATCATGGCATCGAGTTGTTGCCAGACGGTAAACGGTCATCACCGGTCTAGGAACCAACTGGCTCATTGATTCGTGGTGAAAGCCAATATCACATTACCTTCCAGGTTTAATAGCTCGACAAGGGAAAAGGGATTAAGGCTATGTTATTCTGCTCCGTTCTCAGGCACCGTCGAGCATGACTTTGTTGCAGTCTTGTAAAAAAAATGTGAACATGTGTGGCTTATTCAGCACGTGTTCTCAAACAGTGCAAACAATGTCGCCTCAATTCGGTAAACACCCTAAAGTTCTTTTAATCCCTTATTTATTCATCAGTCCTGCAATATCTGCAATTTCATTGGTCACAGCTTCATTGTCAAAGCCTTCCCTTCGATTGGAAGCAGTCAGCAAAAGGTGAACAAAGTTTCGCAAATTCTTTGGGAAATTCCTCTTTTCTTTTTCTTCCTTCACTCGCTTCCGATCTCCAGAAACGTTCTTGAATTTTCCACAAGTATGCTGGGTTGTGAAACATTCCCAAGGCGAACTTCGGCCAAAAACAGCAGTTAACAAACAAAAACAAATTCTTAAATCTTATCTGCATCTATGATCAAGGGATTCAATGATCATGGCTCCATACTGTGTGAGGAGAATAGGGTTGAGAGTGAGTGCACCTGCGGAGAGCATGGGGAAAAGGCGAACATCCTCGAAGAGCGTCGACGAATCCTCGACTGATTTTCACCCTGATCACAGCTCCAGCAGGTACCAAAGCAGTGGCAATTTTTTGATTTCTTGCAATTTGTAAGATGTCATGGCGCGTTAATGCTGGGAAAAGAAGGTACTACACCGAATTGGTGCAAAACTGCAGCAAATAGTAATAGCGATAAAAGTGGATGTCGTATATGCTACCAGCGCACGGATTACCACTATGAGTGAATTTTTGAAGAAAAATGAATTGTTGAGATTTTCGGATAGTAGCAGCTGAATATGCCTTTCTTCCCACGACGTCAGCAAATACTGGAAATTTCGTGTGCTAATGGGGATGGCTGCGTGATTATGCGCAAAAAAGGAGCGTGGAAGAATTGGATGATGACAAGTTACGCGAGCGTGCTATAGCAGTGCACTCTGTTATTTCACATACCAAACGTCTGCAGATGAATTATTTCATTCACCTGGTTGCCCGATAATAGTCCATGCCACACCTCTCACCGTGCACATCATCACGAACTCGATAGTGACAGACTGACGACTTTGCCTTTTGCCTCAATGTTAGGCTGGGTGTCAGAGTCCGCGATCCGTCACAGGTCTCGCTGATTTTGGCGATTCACGCGATTCACGCGACGGGTCACGGAAATCACAAGTGCCCGATCAATACTGCAAGGTGTTCTCCAATCGCCGCCACTTCTGCTTGATAGTGATGGCTGAATGACGACTGCTCATGATTCCACTTGTTTCATATTCAGTGTTTCAAATGTTCAAATGGGGCACTTGCAATTTTGCGATCCGTCGCAGGTTTCGCGCAAATCGCGAAAATCGCGAAACTGCAACGGATCGCGGACTCTGACACCAGCCTTTGCGGTACGCTCAAATTTTGCAGGTTCCTAGCGGGGTAGGAGGAAGGAGGTATTTGGCACATTTTTGGAAAGATGTGAAGATATTTCTAAGTTATCGTTTTGTGAAGAGAGTTGGAGCTGTCGAAATCACAGTTTCAAGATGTTCGTAATCTTGCATTCATAGATGCTACCTCAGTGAGCCTCAGTGAGAGGGCACAGAATGAGAAAATCACTTACCCCTTCCAAGACATATTGCAACGAAATCGCTTTTGCATCAAATATATTAATCAATTCACTCTGCAGTTTAAAAATAAAAAAAAAAAAAGAATAGGAACACAATTGAAGTCACCTCCAGCTGCATCAGGTGCGCAGTTCCAGTCGTTGCAATCCGTTCTATTACTAAAGTAAAACTTTCACCACAGAAGAGTAACAAACAATCTCAAACATACTCACTCCATGGCGGTCGACACCGTTGGAAAGAAGCTGAAAGTGGAAATGTAGAGATAAAACTTAAAATGAGTAAAAGTGCGAGGTACGTTAAGCGAATTCACGACACTGTTCAACTTTAGCGACTCAAACATCGGAATTGGCCAACAGTAATACCAATTTCTGCAAAGGAAGGACGCTCCAGGGTGAAAGCGCCCTGCGAGACTGGAATTAACGTAGACGGCAGACACTACTGCACCACTGGTCGGAAAACTCTCAGACACATTCATGAACTGCATACTTGGTGTGATGTTCCAAGAAGCACTGCCCAGCATAGATGGAGATATGTGCACAAGCTGCATCAACTAGTACATCATTGTTAACCGATAGTAAGTGCTCACGATGCAGCTAAGCTTTTCAGCAACTGTCACCTAGGTGTGGTTCGCTATGACAGCAAGCGAGTTTTCCGCTTTTCGCAGCAAGAAAATCTTCACCGCGAGAACCCTAGGTCCACTCCTGACCAGTGGTGGACCTAAGGTACCCGCAGCGGAAGAATTTGTCGCTCTGCGAAAAGCGGAAAAGTCGCTTTCTATTCTAGCGGACCGCCATGTGACCTGGATCACTGCTGTCAAAGTCAAAAGGCAATATTAAACACCATACGTGAAAAGAAAAACTCAAAAACATTGAAAGAATAAGCCCAGCTTGACGATACTGCAAATCGATCCAATAGAATCTTTAGGCTGGTGTCAGAGTCCGCGATCCGTCGCAGGTTTCGCTGATTTCAGCGATTTGCGCGATTTTCGCGATTTTCGCGATTTGGCGATTTGCGCGAAACCTGCGATGGATCGCAGGAGTTGGAAGTGCCCGATAGTGTGAAGTGATAAAGTGATACTGCGAGGTGCTGTTTCATCCTTCATCTGCTTCCTTTCATCATTCTGCTTGACAGTGAAGATTGAAAGACGACTGTTCGAG